GATCTGAGGGACCAGTAGATCAGGCATGGGGGTGCTGCTGTCTGCTTCTCACTTGGCCTCCTGACTCCTGAGCCTACAAAGTCTACCTGGGTTCTGAGTAGAAATTTTAAAATATATTTTTCTGGAGTTTAAACTTTTGTAAGATTGACTTCCTATGCACAGCTGTGGTGGCCATGTTTGCATACCCAGCTTTTAGTGACTTAGAAGTAAGTGCAGGCTGAAACCCAAAGCCTTTACCTATAGACTAATAACTCAGTAATAACTCTACCAAAACAGTAGCCTTTTGGGGTTTTACAACAAAAATCAAGGAGAGGCTTTTATATATTTTTAAAAGCTTGTTTTATATTGTCTTTCAAAGCTAACCTGAGGTCATCTGTTCCCAAAACTGGGTTCTTTTTTTGAACCTGGTTCTAGGAGTTTAGACTGAGGAGTTTTCCTTAAAAGCTGTGGCTCTCCTGAATGACTCGTTACTTAAAATGAAACCTGAATTTTTTAAATTAAGAGAATCCTTGAATCATGATGTGTGGAACAGGTGTTAAGAACACAGAGCAGACTGTCATGTAATTTCGGCTCACATGGTAGAGGTTGGGAAAAGAGTCAGTCCCTGCTATGTGAATAAGCAGTCTCTCAATCCCTGATGAACCTTCACGAAGAGAGGGGCAGTAGCAGGTTGGCGGCCTTGACTTCTTCGTTTTCTAACCATTTTGCCATAGTCTTATTTATTACTCAGGGGAAAGCTGCCTTTAGTTACCCATAAGCCTTCATTTCTGTCTGATCTTCAGTTCTGAGACTGGCAGAAATCCCTGTACTGCTGAAATTAGGAGGCAGACGAAGTTCTCTCAGTCTTCCAGATGCTGTTTCCCTTCCTGCACTGAGGTATCCATCTCTGAAGGACACACACACACCGCATTTCAGAGCCAGGCTGCGAGGGCTGTTTAGTATTGGCGCTGTGGGTTATGTGCATAAATGTTTTGTGCTCTGGGTTACAGCTCAGCCTTTTCATTATATCAGCCTGTGACATACACCAAGTTAGATCGGTTGCTGGTTTTTTAATTACACATTTCTATATTTTCAAAGGCTACTGTTAAGTGCACATGCCTTTATTTTGCATCACATTACAAAAGCACAATATCTAAGATTTCCGTTAAGAGTAAAAAAAAAAATGCAATAAATACCTCATCATAAACATACCTAAATTTGACAGCATGAACCTTTTCATCGAAGCCTAAGCTATTGTTTAATGCAATCTGTTTTCACTTTATTATCTTCAAAATCTTTGTCAATATATTTTGTGAAGTTTCTGTTCATTGTTTTTCTTCCTTTCACTGGCTCCAAACCTTTGGTAGAATTTGAAGTTGGATGGAGCTTTAAAAAGCTACTGCTAAGAACAGTTCCAGTGTGCCCTCCAGCACTACCCCGTTACACGAACGTTAATTTATTCCTTGCTCTGGGAAGCAAAGAAGCTTGTCAGCTTGTACATTTCTAGATTCCTGATCCTTTGTCTCAGCCATGCACGCATATGTTTGTGTGTGTGTGTGTGTGTGTGTGTGTGCGTGCAAGCGCGTGTACTGGGGGTGGAACTCAGGTGCTTTGGTACCACTGGACTACTTGACCTCAACACAGCCATTTTCTTGCTCTTGTATAAAGTACTATTAACATGGGATATATTTGTACCTGTGAGACTTCTCAGTCTTTTCCTGTCTGGTTAAGATTTACGAGTTTCTAAATCATTTCATACCTGGTACCATAAAATTTGAGTAATACAAAGTCCATTTCATCCTCACTTAAAAAACAAATTTTGGCCTTTCTGCCTAGCACTTTTGTAATGTATTTGCCTTCACCATGCTCCTGAGGACAGTCCAGGTTTCTATTTGTGTGTTTGTGTGTTGTCTAAAATAAAAATATATTGCCATGTTTTCATTATAAAATTGATGGCGAAATATGCTAATCAGCATATTAGTTTTACTTAAGTGCTGCTAATTTGCATACCTCTTACTTGAATTTTTATGTTTTGATAACTGATAACTTCAAGTAATATCTGTATAATTTTTAAAGTGCAGCTGTCTAATGTGCATTAAAACTACTGATTAAATAATGTCTTGCCGGTTTTAAAATGCGATTGTGTATATTTGAACCCACACATGCGTCTGGTCTGCAGTCACATGATCATGGGAACCTGTAAGAGTTTGCAAAGTTGTTTTTTGCCTTTTCATAAAAGTAGATGAACAGGTGTTTAATGCAATTATCAGATGAGTGCTTTTAAAACTCCTTGGCTCTACTGAAATCAGGGCAAGTGTATGTGTGTGCTTTAAACTTAAAAAAAGCATAATTATTTCAAGCGTTTCTCATCCTACTCCCAGAGAAAACGACTGCCAATATTCACTGTATTCTACCAGAAAGCTTTAATACATACTCAAACAGATATATATGTTTGGGAGTATGTTGGGAAATATATATTTCTGAGTTCCTTCCTTCTCCCTCTTAATAATATCTTCATTCTTTTTAATGTCTGCACTGCATTCCATCGCATGACCACAAATAAGAACTTGGATTGTTTTTGCCCAACTTTCCCTCTATAAGCACTGAATGATGGAATTTTAAGCACTCTTCTGCAAACAGTTCTGTTTTGCTTCATTCTGCTGCAGGCCCTTGTTTATCTTAAAGGCAGACTTGCAGGTTCTTGTAATCACAAAATGTTCTCATCCCAGCAAAAGGAAAAATCCAGTTACGCAAGTCTTTAGTTTGCAAAGCAAATCCCTGCACCTACAAATCTGATCGCAGCCAATCACTTTTGTTAAGTATTGGAGAACAAAGAATTAATTTTGCCAGGTGGCCCTCCAAGGTCTGACTTAAGGGAGGTGAGAACTTCTGAATTATCTCCTTTATATAGTATGTGGCTTTACTAGTAAGTACCACTTGGTACATTCTTTACCCAGTGCATGGCATGTGCTGGAGACATGCAGTGGCTTTCTGCTTGCTTAATGGTGATTTTGTACAAATGTCTCCATCTTCCTGAGGCAAAGTTCTCTTATCTTTAAAACAGAAGGATAATATGTGAGTTAGCGTTTATATTTGAGGGCTGAATCAGGGAAGAGTATGCTTTTTTTTCTTTTGAAATTTTGTTTTCTCATTAGAAATACGTTTATCATAGAAAATATGGAGAACAGTGAAAGCTACAGAAAAAATTTAAATCATTCAAAATTAACACTGTTAATTTTGCAAAACTGCTTTTCAGATAGAAAGTACAGAGAAACAAGAAAGATTGGAAGAAGGAAAGGAAAAAAATTCATATTCTCACTTCTTTTGTACTCGTGTTCTTTTGTTATCAAAAGTTCTTTATAAACATTTCAATGGGCTAGTCAATATAATAGCACACATACAAATCATACTTTTTAACATTCCCTTGCTGCTTAACATTTTAATTCCAAAATTTCCCAGGAATAACTGAGATAGCATAAATTCTGTCAACAGTTTTTCTCCTTAGAGATAGAAGTGGGATTAGGAGAAGGGTTTTGAGATTCAGTTGTATTTATTTTATTTTATTCTTTTATTTTAATGCTGCTGGGAATTGAATTCAGGCCTTTGCACATTTGGCAAGTACTCTACCACTGAGCTACATGCCCAACCCCAAAGCTGAATTTATACTTTCCAGTAGATTTACATTAAAATGTTACATCACCTTCACTAAGTATCAAGTATTTGAGTTCATCATAATTTAAAATTATTGTACTGTGTCAATTTAAACACTGTAGAGGCCGGGAGTGGTGGCACATGCCTGTAATCCCAGCACTCGGGAGGCAGAGGCAGGAGGATCGCTGTGAGTTCAAGACCAGCCTGGGCTACATAGTGAGATCCAGGTCAGTCTCAGCTACATAGTGAGACCCTGTCTCAAAACAAAAAACAAAACAAAACAAAACGAAACAAAAAAACCAAATAAACAAACACTGTAGAGTTACATAAAATCAGCAATTTAATAAGCCAGGTGTAGCGGAACATGTCCAGCATTGTGGGAGGCTGAGGCAGGAGGATACAAATTTCGGCTGGGCCTGGGTAACCTAGAACTTACTGAGGCCCCATGTCAAAAAAATTTTTTAAAAGGATAGGGATGCAGTCCTGTGTTCCACTCTCCAGTACCAGAAATAACTTGGGAGTCAAATAATCCAAGACTGTAAACTGAAAGCGCCCATTGGTTAACAACGTTCTGGTGTTAACCAATAGAGTATTAACTTTTGCTGTGTATCTTTCCATTCATACACCTTGATTTTTTTTTTTTTGAGACAGGATCTCCACATATAGTTCAGGATGGCCTTGACCTTGGCGATCCTCATGCCTCAGTCTCCTGAGTGCTGGGGTGATTGACATGTGCCATCACATCTGGCCAGATAGGCATCTTTTCATTTTTTTCTAGTCTCACAAACATGTCTCATTTGAAAAATTATTTCTGTTGGGCAGGCCCCTAGAAGTAGGCCTATAATATTAATAGATGTGTGCTTTAAAAAGTGTATGTTGATAAATTTCCTTTTCCCTTACAAGACTGCACTAATATACATGCACAGCAACAAATATATATATAATAATAAATTTCCCAGTAGAAAATGCGAAAATTGAAAAAAGGACTAGGAGAAGTTTAAAGTCAGTTGTTAGCCCACCTAGCTGTAACAATGCTGTTTCAGTATGAAATTCTTAACTTTTTATATAGATATGGGATACGAATAGATTTAAAAAAAAAAAAAAAAAGCTCCACGTAAACCAGAAAATATAATGGCTCTGTCAACCCTGGGTCCACTTTCCTAGGAATTTAGGTGATAGAGCTTGATCCTGCCTGGACTTTCGAAAAAGTTTAGTGTTCTCGTCTCTATAGCAACCAAAAATTCCTTTACCACAATTGGTGGTCAAGTAATTAACAGGCAATGCATCCAATAGGATACGTTCACTTACCATTTCCAACCAATCGAAGCGTAAGGACGTTTCACAGCGCCTGAGCGATTAGCGTCTTCCTACGTCTGCTTACGTCATCAGACTGCTCCAAAAGCGGCACTGGCCCACAGCGTTCACCAGAATGGCTCCTTTCGTTGTCCGGGCAATGACTTACGCCGGGGTGGCAGCAGCTCCTTCCCTATGGCGGCTTTGCACGTGTGCCCGGTGGCCCCTATCAGGTAAAGGGGGACGCGCGGCTGGAATCTTGTGCTGGGCCGGTGAGCCTGGAATTTTGGGTTGAGCCTCGGGTCGGAAAGGTCGGCTGGGGAGCCATTCGTATACGTCACAGGCTTGCGACGAAGAGCTAGTGCATGACGTTAGCTTCGGGCGGGGCGCGTAGTACCCCGAGAAGGTGACGGTGGGGTGGGGGCTGGGATTCGCCTGTGACGCTAGGGGCGTCTGGTCGGTGTTGATGAGTTGGGGAGCGACATAACCACATACTTGTGCCGTGATGTCACTGAAGGTGTGGTCAGCGTTCCAGGCCAGGACAGTTTGCGACATTGGAAGTTCAGGGACCCAGGTGTGATCCCTTGTCTTTGCTCGCCGTGTTTCCGGGCGCGGTGTATCCTTACCAGCATCGGCTTCCCTTGGGAACTTGTTAGAAATACGTAGTCTCAGATCCCACCCAGGACCTACTCAGCGGATGTCTGTGTTTTATGAGTACTTTCAGATGTTCACTGTCATGTGTAAGAACCACCAGTGTAGTGGAAGGAAGAATTGAATTTGGAGTGGAGAGACATGGGTTTGGATTTTGTTTTCCTTTTTCACCCTAGCTGCCTCAGAAAACTGTGAGGTCGATTTGGCACTCAAAATTAAATCTTTGTGTGTCGCCTTCAAGAGTTTTGCCTTATCAGCGATCGCCCGTACTTTTGATTCTTCTGTGTGTTCTTGTATAACAGTGACCCATTTTTAAATTAAGTAATTTCGTAGAAACTAAATCGTCGTGGTAAAGGGAAAGCCAGTATTGTGTGCCCCAAATGCATGCGTAATCATAAAAAAGAAGTAAACTGAAAGGAAAAATTTATAAATTGTATTAGATACTGTTACCAACCAAGGCTTGAACTCAGGACCATTTTTCTGTTAAGAAACTGGGTTAAGTTCACTTAGTATCAGGAAAGGCTGTAGAACATGCCGTATGTAGATGGGGACATTTTCCCTGATGAATCAAAAGGACCAGGAGAGAATTTGAAAGAGCAACTCGCAATTACATGGGTGTTATGTATTTATTTACTTATTTATTTTAATCAACTGACAGCTTCAACTTTTAATAATGGAAGTCATTTTGCCATTCAAGAAAGCATTTTAGGGGAGAAAATCTTCCCTATAAAAATAAAACATCAACATTATAAATATTGTAATTTTTAAACCTGCACAGTTAAAAATGCTTCCCTGTAATACTACCCATTCATTTTAACGCCTTTCCTGTACCATCACATTTTGAAGAGAAAACACTATTACAGCAAAGCTTAGTTTTAACTTAACAAAAGGATTTGTACAATGATTTTTAATAAAATATCTTTGGCCTTAGGGGCCTTTTTCCTCCTTTTACACTTTAAAAATGCTGCTGCAGTAACCAGTGTTTGGGAAAGGACATCAGAACTATGAACTGACAAGATTTCAGTACAGTACAGTTTCCAAATTGCAACTTGTAGTGCACATGACAGTGAGCGAGGTTCTGAGTAAGTATAGGTGAGGATGCCTAGTCTAGATGATCTACTTTAAGCTAAAAAAAAAAAAAAATTCTCAGATACCCACCAGCTCCTACTTTAGGTTCTAACTGTGTCTTAATCTGAGAAACATGCTTCACGAACTATAAGTTTACTGGGAGAAGTAATTAAAATACTAGGTAGTTGATAATAGTATACTCAAACCCAAGCCATAGTGTGAAGAGTAAAACTAGCATAAAAGTCATGAAGGCATCCCCTGAACAATAAAGGTGAAGTGTTGGGTGACAGTGTCACTAAAACCTCATTGCTGCACTAAAAAGTCAGGTGCAAAATAAAACAAGATGTGCCATACATATTTTATAACTAGTTCTACTTTTGCCCCAGTTTTTTTTCTTAAAAGCCTAGGAAGATCTGATTGTCTCGGTAGCTTGTGTGGCACAGCACAACCAACACTTAAATGTGCCTCCGATGAGATAGGTATTCTCTGAAAAGTTAGAAGAGCCAAGAGGAAACAAATGCGATAAAAGGCACAGTCACTTAAGCAAAGAACCAAAGCACCTTGGAATTTCACACAGAATCCATTAGGTGTCACCAAAGTGTTAACAATTCCTTGGGAATTTATAAACAAAAAAAATCTAGACAAAACCAGACCGACTGACTATAAGGGCTGTCTGGAACCACAGCACACCTTTCCCTCCATGCTCAGGTTTGTAAGTCGCTAAGAAACTGAGGTTGATTTCGCCTGTTTTTAAGGCTTTATTGCCCATACATTTCTTTGGTTGGATGGACATGCACTTTTGGTACAGTGGTTCCGTAATGAACCCCTGTGGCCTGCTCAGCGGGAGTGGACTTTCCTCCTTCCTTGGGGCCTCCTACTCGCAGTCACATCCTCTGAAACTGCGGATGACGTGAGAGTATTGAATCTTAAAAATCCCTGTCCTACATTATGTGAGAGCAGACTGTAACTTAGAGACAGGGAGAAGCAGAGGGAGAGAGAGAGAGAGAGAATTAAGGAAAAGAGGAAAGGAAGGAAGAAAAAAGGGAAGGAAAAGAAAGGGTAGAACAAAGGGGGAGGGAGTGATTGTCGCAAATTTGCAGTGAGCTCTGTAGTTGACAAACTTCCTGGCTAACAAGGAGAAAACAGCTGCCCTACCCTAAACTCATTTTCAACTTGGAAAACCACCTCTTTGGGGAAATCCACACAGTTTAAGGAGCCAGCCACGGGTCACGGCCTACTTATCCAGAGCTGCTACAGCAGTAAGACCTTCTACTCCAAGAAGGCAGAATCGGGGCCCCACACGCGAGGGGCCAGATCCAGCTGTATGGGGCCCACCTCCACCTGCCGCATTCTCCAGTCTTCTGCACAGTTCATGGGCCCTTCTTGGGTTTAGTTCCTACCTCTCTGGCTCCATTGCCCAGCAGGAAATCAAGCAGTCCTAGAATGGGCTTAACATCTCAACACTGAACGCTTCTACCTCCTTGTCAAGCGATATCCTTGACTCCACTTCCACCACTGTGCCCGCCTCAGCACCTTCCTCAGTGGCCGGCAGAGCTTTCACTTCCACGCAGCCGCCTTCTGAACTTGCTCCTTACTTCTGTTAATCTGACTCCTCCAACATCCTTCCCAAATTCCCCACAGTTCCTGGACTCCTCTGCCCTTCACATGAATGGTTTCCTCTGACACAAAACACAAACCAAACAGGTAGTTTTAGTTTTGACATAGAACAAGTATTCAGAGAGATTCCTTATTGTTTCTTAAAACTTGTTTGCACCTCCTGAAGCTTAACCATCATATAATTAAAATAACTAGAAGAAAATAAAAACAAAACAACCCAGAGTTCATGCTTCCAAGCGCTCCAGGATGCTCCTGATGATTGCGGGTTCACAGAGTGCAAGAGGTGACCCCGCCTTGCTGTAACAGAATAAGCTCGCGGGCTCCCTCTCTTGGGCCGCGAGGGTGTAGGATGCCTGTGGCCAGGGGCTGGGAACTAACTAGAACGAAAGGGGTGACGCTGGCTTTGGGGCAAGAGCACGGCTCTCCAGAAAGGTGCTTGCTGCTCCCTTACGCAGGGGTCCAGAGCCAGGAGCATAAGCCCGACTTCCACGCCCCACCCAGGGTCGCTTCCGGCTTACGTCTGCAGGCCTTGCAGCGCCTCTTCAGGTTCTGCAGCTGCTCCTCTTCCTCCTTGTCCAGGATGCACTAGAAATTCTGCAGTTCTGAAAGGGTGAACGCTTCCCACTCTCCAATTTCATGTTCACAGAGAACAAAACTAAGGGTGTAGGTTCTGGGCCGTGCTACCACATGCGGGTAGGTAGAGCGGATGTTCTCGGCCTCAGAGCTCGCAGGCATCACCTTGGTCTTCCCATGACAACGTGTATAAAGTGCAAACTTGGCAGGGCTCTCTGTCACGAGAAATGTTTTGAGCAGAGCTCCGATGACTTCCCCAGCGGTGTCCTGCCAATAGGAAGCGTGTTGGCACAGCCATTGCTACCAGGAGGCGTCTGCGGAGGTTTGCAGAGTTCACCTGCACTTCCGTGAAGCCGTTGTGAATCCGATTTGAATTCAAGGTCATCTTCAACTTGTGTGTGATGGCTAAATTGTATTTCTGAACTCTCTCTTTGATTTCCTCTTTGCCCAGGTAATTGTGAGTTTCCTTCTCTTTCTCTAAGTCTTGGGTCTTGCCCTGGGGCGCCCTCCTGAAGAAGGAGGTCCTGGCGTTGAAGAATCCTTGGTGTCCTCCTCCAGGTTGCTGTAACCGCTGCTCATACTGCTGGGCCCCGAGCGCAGGTGGCCAGGCAGCGGGCCCGGCGCCTGACCGTCCACCCTGCGAGGTCCCCGGAGCACGCCCCAACTCCGGTGGACGGCCCCACTCACCGGCACAGCCGGTGCCACTTAAAGTCTTCAGTGTACTACTTTAAAATCTTCAGGTACTACCGTTAGCAGGTCCCACATGTTAGGGAAACAGATGTAAAGTGATAAATCTGAGAACGTCTAGTACTGCGCCTCAATTTTATTTGTTTATTTTTATTTATTTTTTTGGTACCCAGGATTGAACTCAGGACCTTGCACTTGTGAGGCAGGTGAGGGCACCACTGAGCTAAATCTTCAGCCCTACCTCAATTTTATTTTAAAGCATGTACCAATCTAGTCAGAACTTAGAGTTGTTGAATGTTCGGTACTCCTGTGCTAAGTCAGTGAGCATAACCAAAGAATAATCATTCAATTTTATTTGTAAAGTTACTTTATTTTCTGCATCTCATTTCACCCTCATGATAACTCAGTAAGAAAAGTTTTATTGTATGCTTTCCTTGAAAAGAAAATAGCCTGATACTAAAAAATATCTATTCTGATTTGTTCAAGATTTGTGTCGGAGCTTGGACAAACATTTTCTTTTTCTTTTTTAATTGCATATAATCCTTTTGTTCTTTGTAGCCAAAGTGATTCCTCTGCATTTTCTAACTGTAGGTCTGGGCCTTTCACAAGAGATTGCAAAAGATAGAAATGTCAAGTACTTTGATATTCAAGTCCCTTACCCTAACCCCCCCAATTATTTATTGACTCCCTAAATTTGGAACTGTGATGTGGTATGAGGAAAGAGTTCATTGAATTTTGAATGCGAACATTATCCTGCCTTTACCTGTAAAAAGTCAGTCATGCCTTTGAACTCATCTTACATCCTCCATCTCTTGCTCCTTCTCAGTACATAGTTTTATTTTATTTTGTTTTGTTTTGGTACTGGGGATCGAACTCAGGACCTTGCACTGCACGCTAAATCCCAGGCTTGTTTTGTTTTCTAAGAGTACCAGGTTGTCTCTTCCCCCACCCCATTAATACACATTTGGCTGGTGATAACAAGTGAAAGAATAAGTAAACAAAATTATTTTGAGAAGCAGAGCCAGCTCATCAGCTTCCATTCCTAATCTCCATCTCTCCACAAGGAGATCAGTACTAGGTGCCCCTTTCTTCTGACTGTAAAAGAAAACAGCTCGATTTTTCCTGAGAGTAATGAAGAATTTGCACTTGCATTGCAGCTTATGGGGAAAAAATCAGCCTCAGATTTTGCAGTTCAGGAATGACCTTAGACAACATCAATTGGGCAGCCGTGGACCGCATAATCCGGGTGGATCATGCAGGTGAATATGGAGCAAATCGCATCCTCGCAGGGCAGATGGCCGTCCTGGGCCGGACAAGTGTTGGGCCGGTCATTCAGGTGGGCACTTCTTTATCTCTTAGTGTGGTCTCCCGAGTACGTGCATCTAAGCCCGGGGTCATGCATTCCCAGAGGAGGTGCTGCTGTCCTCAGGAGCATGAGACTTGGTTCGGGGGGCGGGGGTGGCAAGCAGAAAGCATGTTGCCTTCTTCATGGATAGATACGCAAGGCGTAGTTAAAAAAAACATGGTACACATTTAAAAACTACCACAGTGAGAGACAGATTGCCATCGATGACCCTGAACACAGTTGTCATTCTTGCACTTTCTGAGCAAGTTGTGGAAGTCCTGTTTTGTGAAAGTTTTTAGGCATCCCGTCACGCTGTCTCATTGTCAAAATGCTCACCTTTCGTGGTCACTTTGAGCAGGGGGAGGAACCAGAGGTCGTGTAGTGGGAGATCTGGTGAGTAAGGTGGATGAGAGCACCGTAATGTTTTGTGAGCCCGCTTTCTGATGGTGGGCAGTTGGCAGCAGCAGTCACCATGTTTTATCACACCTCGTAAAGACGCTCACGTAAGAGGCCTTCCAAAATTGCTCCAAAAATTCTTTTCCATCTGATGTTTTAGAGAAATGGAGGAGGTAGCAGTCCTCTTTTTCTCCTCTGTTTGTATTTTGTTCCCACCCGTAGGCCCGTAGCCTCCTTTGGATACTTCAGGAGGCCTCTTGAATGCTTGCCTGTCTTCATTTTTGTTTCTTACAGAAAATGTGGGATCAAGAAAAGGCCCATTTGCAAAAGTTCAGTGAGCTGATGGTTGCATTCAGGGTCCGGCCAACAGCCCTGATGCCTCTTTGGAATGTCGCGGGCTTTGCACTGGGTATGTGTCTGCAGAGGTGCAGGTGGGCACAGGGGCCCGGGTGATGAGTCATCCTGCTTCCTCCTCCCCGGTTCTTGCCGTGTCCTTGTTCGACCCGTTTAATTTATTTAGTATTTGCCTGAAGTTAAATGGATTGAATTTCTTTACTTTTGTAAATAGAAAGTACAGTAAAACCTAACATGGGAGTCCGCTGGCATAATCCAGTTGCAGCCCTGTACTGTTCTCTGACACAGATTCTAAACCTGAGATCTACTTGTGCTTTTCAAAAGGGAGATTAAAGAAAAGCAGTACAGAAGTTCAAAGACGTACTCAGCCCAAATGCACGTTCTCTTGATGTACTCAGAAGACTGAAAATGTAGTGAAAGAGAAGAGCTTTCTTATTGTGTGCCTGGAGGGTCAACTGGACCTGGTCCTGCCTCCAGCAGTGCTCCTCACCCCAGGGCGACTCTGCCCCCCTGAGGATGCGTGGCAGTCTCTGAAGACTTTTCCAGTGGGTCACAACTGAGGGAGCGCTACTGGCCTCTAGTTGGTAGACATCAAGGAAACTGTTACATAGTCAACAATGCACAGCAGTGCCAGGGCTGGAAAGCCTGGCCTGATCCATCTGCTTTCCCAGTGGTATCCGTCCTGTACTTTACTGCTGGGTTTGACAATTCCAGGAGCAGGAACCGCCTTGCTCGGGAAGGAAGGCGCAATGGCCTGCACTGTGGCAGTGGAAGAGACCATAGCCCATCACTATAACAACCAGATCAGGACGCTAATGGAGGAGGACCCTGAAAAATATGAGGAACTTCTGCAGGTGACTGACTGCCTGTACTCTGAACGGGCTGTGTGAGGGAAGAAAGGGCAGGTGGGCAGTTGCTAAAAAGAAAAAATACAGGAATCGTAGATGATGATAGGCTTTTAGACTTCAAGGTTAGCACCTCTCTTCAAAAGGTGGACAAACTAAGGGGCAGAGACAGAGAGGTGGAGCTGTCTGCCCAGGTCACACAGCTCAGGCAGTGAGAACTAGAACCTACACATCGTGAACCCAACCTGCCTGTCTCTCTCTACTTGTGTTTCACTGGTGGATTCTCAGCATTGATGACATAGATTAGATGTATGAGGTAATAGCCTCGGGTGTCTTTTCATGGCAAATAAAGGAGCTTTAATTTTTCAGTTTAGTTTTTGTTTTGTTTTGTTTTTTGAGATCGGATCTCATAATGTTACCCAGGCTGGCCTCAAACTCTTGGTCTCACATGATCCTCCTGCCTCAGCCTCCCGGGTAGCTGGGATTCCAGGCCTGTGAGAACACCCCTAGCTCTAAAGGAACTATTTAATTTTGAAAGTCTAAGTCAAATGTTGGCAGACTCTGACCTCCAGCCACACCTGGTTCTGTAAATAAAGTTACATTGGTTCTGCCTCCTGCCTTACAAGCTCAAGGTCCCAAGTTCGATACTGGTACCAAACAACAACGACAACAACAACAACAACAAAAAGTTTCATTAGAACCTGCCCACACCCATCATTGCACTTGGGGGTTGCTTTTCCGATGCAGCGGCCGGGGAGAGGAGTACACAGAGATTATACAGCCCATGCCCGGGGGCTTGAAGTGTTTCCTCTCTGACTGTTGTTAGACAAGAGGAAGAGATGAGAGATGAGGGGGTTTCATAGGGAGAGTGATAAGGGGAATAGATACGATCAAATGTACATGGGATGTGTGTGTGTGTGTGTGTGTGTGTGTGTGTGTGTGAAAGTTTTAAAAGTTTTTACTCTGGTCCTGCACAGAAGTAATATGCCTACCCTGACCTTAGACTACAGAATAATGACTTGCTTGGATTTCTTTGTATTTAACCAGCTGATAAAGAAGTTTCGAGATGAAGAGCTTGAGCACCATGACACAGGCCTGTCCCACGACGCGGAATTGGTAGGGGCCTGCTGTTACTCGTGGTACTTTGGGGAGCGCATGTGTTGGTTCAGGGGGGAGTCCTGCTTTGTGCTCCATCCCTCATTCTTTTCCCAAGGGCCGCTTCCCCTTTTCCTGTGAGAAACTGGATGTCCAGGGTTTTGGCAGTAGCAGGTCCATTCTGATGTTTGGAATAGCCTTTTCACCTAGATTTAAAAGAAACTGCTTGTCAGATCTCATTTCTTATCCAGAGAAGGTGTATGCTCACATTTACAACCAGTTCGGAACACACAGCACAGCACGTTGCTTTGGTTGCCTTCCGAGTATGTGTGTGCATGCGCTGGCCATACGGGACCCAGGACCTCGGCATGTTAGGCCAGCACCCCCTGGGCTACCTCCACAGCCTCTTGTTGTTTTTAATAGGCGCCAGCGTACGCTGTCTTGAAGACTGTTATCCAAGCTGGGTGCCGTGCCGCAATATATTTATCGGAAAGATTGTGAGTTCCAGCCCTTGTCTACGAAAGGTGGCAGTTAACAAGTGACATTTACAGAGAAGCAATTGTGCAGTTACTACTGTGTGGATTTTGTTAATAAATGACAAGAGTATTTTTTTCATTAATAAAACTCTTCAGTGTTGGTTTTGTTGTTGTCTTATGCTCTAAGGTGTGTTCAGATATAGCAAACAAAGTTGGTTCCTCTTTGGTTCGTGTCCTAGTTCATTTTGTCCTGAAATATTAAGAATGAATCATTAATAAATTAGCAGGATTTTTTTTCCTTTTTTTTGGTTCTAGGGCTCGAACCCAGGACCTTACCTTGCACCTGCTAGGCAAGTACTCTACCACTGTGCCATGCATACCCCAGCAGTGGGAACTTTAACAGGAAAAAAGGTTGAGTTTACTGATAGCAAAAGGTAACTTAGAACTTGAGGATGTTTAAGTCTACTAAGCAAGACTAACGGTGAAGTCCATCAAGTAAACAAAGATGGTTGTTTCCATTTTGAATTGTGTATGGCGTGGGTGGGAAGTTGTTGTGGCTTTGAATGTTTGTGTCCACTCCAAATTCATGTGTTGAAATCTTCACACCAGAGGCAATGGTGGGACCTTTGGGAAGTGATAGACTGTGGTAGAGGTCTCACGGATGGGATTGGTGCCTCTGTCAAAGGGGCCTGCGGAAGGCCCGCACCCCTTCCGCCCGGTGCCACAGCAGGCTGCTGACTGAGAGTGTGAACCACCCTCCCCAGACGTGAATCTGCCAGCACCTTGCCCTTGGGCTTCATTGGCCTCCACAACTGTGAGCGGTCAGTTTCTGTTGGTTCTAAGCTAGCTAGTCTGGGGCATTTTGTTATAGCTATAAGCCAGGATAGACTAAGGTGGGGCATGGTCTTTCTTCCAGAATTATTTTGCTAAATTGAAGTATAATCATTTCTTGAATGGATGAAAACTGACTAAACTTCAGACTTTGGTGAAACATTTAAAATTTTTTCATCTTTTTGGGGGGTTGGGGGGGATACCAGGGATCAAACTTGGGACCTTATGTTTGTGAGGCAGGTGGCGGCACCATCGAGCTAAATCCCTGGCCCTTAATCTTTAAATCTTAATATATAAAAATCTAGATCAACGATTCTCCTCTCTAGCTACACATTATTTGAATGATCTTTGGAGCTTTTAAGAACTTTCGGTTTGGTCAGGCACAGCGGTGTACACCTGTCCTCCCAGTTTCTGGGTAGGCTGGGCAGGAGGATCACTTGAGTCCAGGTGCTGGGGGTCAGCCTGGGCAATGTAGTGAGTCCTTGTATCTTAAAAACTTTTTAGTTCATAGACCATATATTCTGATTTAATTAGGTTAGGGCTCAGTTGGTCCTAGTGTGTTTGAGGCTAGGACCCCCAGGATAGACTATAAACTACTTGTGAAGAACTGTGTCCTGTCAGTATCTGCCTCCCCACAACTTACATTTCATCAGCACCTAAAAGCACAAGGAGCAAAAGAAAATGAGATAATTACACTTCATCAAATTTAAAGCTTTTGTGCTTAGAAAGACACTTGAAAGGACAACCCAATCCATGGAATTGAAAATCATGTTCTTGGTAAGGGACTTGATTCTACAATCTATAAGGAACACTGAACAATGAAAAGACAAATAGCCCGACTTCAAAACTGGGCCAAAGACTTGAATCGTCATTTCTCCAGAGAACAGGTACAAATGGCTAGTAAGCATATTAAAAAAAAAACAAACCTCAACATTGTAAGTCATTCAGGGAAACAAGAATGAGATGCCACGTCAGAGTAGGATGGCCGCAACCAAAACAGTGGAAAATAATAGTTGTTGATTTATGTTGTATTTGAGAGCTTCGGTAAGATGTTAACAGGCCAAGATGTTAAGTGGGGAAACAGTGTTTTTAACCTAGCAACCCTCAGGCCGACAGAGCATGTAGGAGCCTTGCCTGAGCTGGGGTTTAGTGCTAGTCCTTGCCTTCCTATTTTAAAGCTAATTTTCTAAGCACTGCAGGCAGGAGTCTCAGTCATGGGAAGGTATTGTGTACAATCCTTATTAAAAGCCCAGATTGGCCGCTGTTTGTTTAGCCTCCCCTTCAAAATTGATGGCTGATGTTTTATGCTTCTGAGAGCTTCCAGAACAAGGCCGGAGAGATTTTCTGAATCCCCTTTTGATTGTTTTTAATTACATTTCAGCTTGTCCTTGTGTATTAACAAGGTAATCTTGTCTTTCCCTTACTCCGCTCCTCTGACCTTTCAGGGAAAATGTGATTTTAGAATTGGATATGATCCAAAGATGACGCTAGGATGACAAAGGATGTTATTCTTGCAAACACTATAGCTCCAAAGAGGCAATCTAAGCTTAGTTCTTTGTGTGTCTTTGATCTCCTATTTAAAATGTGGTCCACAGGCCAACAGCAGTAGTGTTGCTTGGGAGCATGTTAGAAATGCAGAATTTTAGGTCCTCCCTGGACCTTCTCAGTTGAAATCTGCATTTTAGAGTGTCTGCAAATTCCTTGATATTCCTCTATTTGACAGAGCTTAATTTCCCTTGCCTTGAGTTTGGGCTGTACTCAGAGATTCGTTTCTAACAGACAGACAGAACATGGCAGAACTGATGGGGTGTGGCTTCCAAGGTGCCTTGGCCTGTTTTGCGTTGTTAAAACGATACCTGAGAGTGAATACTCCACACCTGAAGAGGTTTATTTGGTTCACAATTTCTAGTGGCTGCAGGCTCCGAATAGCATGGTGGCAGCATCCGGTGAGAGCCCCTTGGCTGCGTCACAGCACAGCAGATGGCAGGAGCACATGTAATAGCTCAGCCGGGAGAAGAAGCAGGAGAGGGGAGAGGGCCAGGCTCACTCTCTCCTCACAGCCTGCTCCTGGGAGACCTGCATTGATCCCTCCACAAGGGCAGTTGTGACCCAACCCTGATCACTCCCCACCAGGTCCTACCCTTTAAACCCCCACCACCTCTCAGCGTCTCAGGGGTGGGGAGCATCTTCCTGTAGAGGCATGAACACATCCAAACCATAGCAAAACATGGGATTATGAAAGGCACTGTAGGTCACTCGCTCTGGGGGAAGCCCGCTGCCAGGTCATGAAGAACCTCGAGCACTTAGCTAATCTGTAGAGATGCTCACATAACCAAGGACACAGGCCTTGGGCCAGCAGCCATGAGTCTTCCAGCTCACTGGGGAGTTGGATGACAGCAGCTTCCAACATCTCCACGGCAACGTCCTGAGAGGCCCCAAGCCCAAATTGCCCAGGAAGTCTACTGCTGCTGAATTCTTGGCTCTCAGCAACTGTTAGATAATAAATGTTTGTTCTTTGGGATAATTTTTTATGCAGCAATAGATAACGAATGCACAATACTTCCGAGTTTTGCTTTTTTTTTTTTTTTGAAACAGAGTCTTGGTATGTAGCTCAGACTGGTCTCACAGGGATCCTCCTGCCTCAGCCTCCTCGAGTGCTGGGATTACAGGATGTACTACCACACCCGGTTTCACAACCGCCAAGTGATGTGAAAGAATGCAAAATTTTGGAAAGCATTGACCAGATAATAAACTCCCTGAGGGCAGAGATCTTCCTGGTCAGTTTCATATCTTCAACTAAGCACGGTGCCTGACACAATACATTTTTGCTGGGCTAAATACAAAGTTAAATTCCCCTGTTCTTAAGTTTGTTAAACTCTTTTTGTCATAAGGAATGCACGTGAGCAAAAGGTTAAGATATTGCAGCAGTTTTAAAGGCTCTTTATAGGGATGAGAAAATCTCCCTGTGGACTGCTTAATTCAAACTCTGTGGCCAATTTTCTTTGTGATTTGCTTACGACAGCCTGCCACATGGGAGTTACATTTTTTTCCCGCTTCCAAAAGCCGTACATGCTTGCCTCAAAATCAAATATAAACTGCATATAAGTAAAAAAAAAAAAACAAAGAACAAAAAACAAAAAATCTTTAAAACCCCACACTTCCAAACATGGTCTCCAGTAGTATGCACCACTAGTAATTCAATGTGTTTCTTTCTAGACTTGTTTAGAAAATCTTTTACCCAAACATTTGAGTTTGCATTTCCCACCTAGAATGGTGTATGTATCCTGACTAGCAATTCGTGCTTTTTAGGCAGTGGTGTGTGCTCCCTTAATTATTTCCACCCAACCCACAGCTGTCCTTTGTCCACGCCACCACATCCCGGGATCCTGCACCCCCCACCTACCTGGCAGGGCCAGTACTGTTCTGTGTTCTAGTGGGCAAGGGCTCATTTACTGAGTTCTCTAACCCTCAGGGACAGGTGGTCCCTGGGCTAACCCCGAGGTCACTCTGCACCTGCGTTTGCTCTCTCATCCTATTGGTGGACATACGAGTTATATTTGATACACTTCTGGAGACCAAAGTGTCTTTTGAACTTTGAACCAAAGTTCAAACCCAGGGCCTTCAAACTGAGCAATATCCTCAACCCTGGTTCTGTTTGTTTTTTATTTTGAGACCAGGTCTCACCAAGTCTCAGAGTTGCCCAGGATGGGCTCAAACTTGGGGATCCTCCCGCCTCGGCCTTCCATAGTGCTGGGATCAAAGTGGATGCCCCACATGTAATGAATGTGTCTTAACACTCCAGGGTAACATGCACTCCAGCCCTTCTGGAGACCCCATACCTCTCTGAGAGGATCTGAAAACCCTGGACTTTATTCCAGGACTTCCTTAAATGCTTCCTGAAGACCCCTGATCCGGGTGACTTGAGAAGAAAATATAACATTAACTCAGGGAAGCGAAAGAAACCTTCCAAAGTGAAACTTCAGCCTCAGACCCGCTCATTTCTCTCTAACCTGCTCAGGAACGACCCTCCCCAGGCGAGAGTGCTGTCCCGCTAAGATGGCGTTCACAGTTGAAAGGCACCTCCTTCCTCCTGGATCTGCCTCCTCCCACCCTACCCCTGCAGCTGAGCGGGGCCCGCGACAGCTCTTTTCATCCCCTTGGCCTTGGAAGGCGAGCTAGGGCGCTCCTAGGACGAGCGCAGTCCGAGGAGGGATGGCGACACCGGGGCCACTAGAGGGCGCCCACGCCCAGCGAGCAGAGCGCAAGGCGGGGACGCCGGCCAGCAGA